CTGCCCGGCCGGCCACAGCACCTGGCTGCCGGCCGGCCGGCCGGCCGCCCGCTGGAGGCAGTCCCAGTCCCGCCTCCCGCGCCAGCCCTCAAGGCCTCCACCTGCCCAGCTCCGAGCCTAACGGGACCACTCTGCGAGCTCTCAGCACCCGGACTTCCCAGAGTCCGTTTCAACCTGCGAAGCAGCCTCGTGCCTCTGTGCCTTCCTGACCTGGGCAGTCCTAGGTCAGGCCTGAATTCTCAGCCACATCAGAGCGGGCAGCCTGGGATAACTTCATCTTCAAGATGCGCCTACTGCTGGATAAACAGCAGCCAAAATCAGAGTGCTTAAACTTGGTCTCTCTTGCCAGATTTTAAAACTGTCTGGAGGATATCGATGGTCAACAGATTTTTTGTTTGTTGTAATTAAATGAATAAATGAACCCTGCATCAAGTTCCCTTTATTAAGATTTTGCTGAACACAGCACCAAAGTTTACAGACAAAAATCACAAGAACCACTTACGGAATCTAGATATTTTCTGAACCTATTTCCCTATCTTATTCATATTTGGAAAGAACATTTTACTCATTCTACTTTTTTGATTTCTACTTTAATTTCCTCTTTATTAGATCCGTATTTTGTATTGTTTGCTACAATAAGGATTCTGTAAAGTGATATTATGTATTTTTTTAAAATGACTTCACTTATATGAAAAGACAAGGATAGGCAAATGTATAGAGACCAAAGTTTATTAGTGGTTACCAGGGGCGGGAGGGAGGGGAAAAGGAGTACTTATGGAGTACTGAGTTTATTTATGGTGATGGAAAAATCTCATTGATTAAGGGTAGGGTCACACAGCCAATTAATGTAATTGCTGTCAATAAGTTGTAACCCTATAAAACTAGTTGGATTGGCAAAAGTTGTGTGATAGCTGCTGAGGCTGCTTTATGTACAACCAAACACCTCATGGGATTGCTTCCTTGGTTTGAAGGTTTAGGGTCATAGTTTCATGGGACATCCCTGTTAATTGGCCTAAAAACATGTTGTACCTCCTAGTTCACTGTGTAGTGCCTGGGGTCTTAAAAGCTTTCAAGTGGCCTTCCAAGGTACAACAATTGGTCTCCACCAGAAGCAACAGGGGAAGGAGAGTCAGGAATAGGAGGAGGAAATGGAATGTGTGTCTAATTACCTCCAGGGACAACTGTCTCTTTTGCCTTGAGACCAGAGGAACTGGATGGTGCTCGGCTACCATTACTGAACATTTTGATCAATGATTGTATAGAAGAATCCTGATCAAAAGCTGGGAAATGCAGAACCAATTTTCAAATTATCATGGAATCCAGATTTTCTGGAGCCATGGAGGATGGATGAACACCTGAAACTACTGCCCCAAGATAATCTTTAAACCTTAAACCAAAAATATTCCCTGAAGTCTTGTTAAAACTGAACAATAGTTTAGCTTAACTAGCCAAGAAAGTCTGCCCTGAGCATTATGCTCTTTTAAGATCTATCTATATGGGATCAAATTGACAACAGCAACTTGAAAGAGTAGATAGGAACCTTAGACAGCAGTAAGTTTATGTTAATGGGGGAAGAACAACTCAGAAAAGGAGGGTGAGAATGGTTGCACAACTCAAAGAACGTAAATCAATGTAACTGAATTGTACATGTAGAAAGGGTCGAATCGGTGTATGTTCTGCTGTGTTTATCCTCAACAACAAAAATAAATTATAAAAAATATTAATGACTATAGACTTTCCTCTGAATATGCTTTAGATTTATCCATTAGAGTTTCATGTTAAATGTTCTCTCAAATTTTTCTAGATAATCTGTAATTTCTGTTCTTCCTTTTCTTTCTTTATATTTGAGTTATAATTTACATACAGTGAAATGCAGGTATCTTAAACAGGCAGCTTATGTAACCACCTCCAATTCAAATATACAACATTTCCAGCACTAGAGTTTCTCATATCCCTTCCCATCAATACCCCCAAGCAAGGTGACCACTATTGTGACTTCTATCACAATAGATTAGTTTTGCTCGTTCTTGAACGTCATATAAAAGCAGCATATACTTTTTTCTCTTTTATGTCTGGCATTTTCAGTGAACATAATGTTTTTGAGAATCATTTGTGCTATTGTGTCCATCAGTAGTTTTTTTTTATTACTGTGTAGTTTTCTAAATTGGCCAGTGAAAACCTTATGAATAGCAGTGGAACATGGTCTGATATAGTGCCAGAAGAAGAGCCCCTCAGGTTGGAAAGCACTCAAAATACAACTGGGGAAGAGCTGCCTCCTCAAAGTAGAGTTGACCTTAATGACATTGATGGAGTCAAGCTTTCGGGACCTTCATTTACTGATGTGGCACGACTCAAAATGAGAAGAAACAGCTGCAAACATCCATCAGTAAATAATCGGAACATGGAATGTACGAAGTATGAACCTAGGAGAACTAGAAGTTGTCAAAAATGAAATGAAACACATAAAGATCGATATCATAGGTATTAGTGAGCTGAAATGGACTGGTACTGGCCATTTTGAATCAGACAGTCATGTGGTCTACTATGCCAGGAATGACAAATTGAAGAGGAATCACTTCACATTCATCGTCAAAAAGAACATTTCAAGCTCTATTCCTGAACTACAACACTGTCAGTGATAATATCCATACGCCTACAAGGAAGACCAATTAAGATGACTATTATTCAAATTTATGCACCAACCACTAAGGCCAAAGATGAAGAAATTGAAGAGTTTTACCAACTTCTGCAGTCTGAAATTGATCAAACATGCAATCAAGGTGCATTTATAATTACTGGTAATCAGAATGAGAAAGATAGAAATGAAGAAAAAGGATCAGTAGTTAGAAAATATGGCCTTGGTGATAGAAACGACGCCAGAGATCGCATGATAGAATATTGCAAGACCAATGACTTCTTCATTGCAAATACCTTTTTTCAACAACATAAATGGCAACTATACACATGGACCTCACCTGATGCAGGAAACAAATTGACTACATCTGTGGAAAGAAACAACGGAAAAGCTAAATATCACCAGTCAGAACAAGGCCAGAGGCTGACTGTGGAACAGATCATCAATTGCTCAAATGCAAATTCAAACTGAAACTGAAGAAAATTAAAACAAGTCCATGAGAGCCAAACTACGTCCTTGAGTATATCCCATCAGAATCTGGAGACCATCTCAAGAATAGATTTGCCACATTGAACACTAATGACCAAAGACCAGACGAGTTACAGGATGACATCAAGGATATCATACATAAAGAAAGCAAAAGGACATTAAAAAGACAGGAAAGAAAGAAAAAAAACAAAATAGATATCAGAAGAGACTCTGAAACTTGCTTTTGAATGTAGAACAGCTAAAGTGAACAGAAGAAATGATAAAGTAAAAGAGCTGAACAGAAATGCTCAATAGCCACATGTGGCTAGAGGCTATCATATAGGATAGTGCAAATATATAGAACATGTACATTATTGCAGAATGCTCTACTGGATGGCCCAATTCTAGATATTAATCCTTGTGAGTTATATGTGTTACAAGTATCTTTTCCAAGTTTATGGCTGGTCTTTTCACTGTCTTTATTGGGTATGTTGATGAACAGAAATTCCTAATTTTAATGTAGTTGATTTTACCAAGGATTAATGAAGTCTCTTTACCTATATTTCCTTCTAAAAAGTATAAAGCTAAAAAGTAGATTTCCTTCTAAAAAGTATAAAGCTTTGACTGGGTTTAGTATAAAGCTATTTCTGGGTTTAGTGTGGAGTACGGATCTAGTCTCATGTTTTCCAATTGTCCCAGCACCATAGTGTCTTCTTCCCTCACTCTTTGTATATTAGATTTTTATACATGCATAGCTCTTTCTCTGAGCTTTCCAGTCTAATCCTTTAATCCTGAGCCAATCGCATTGTCTTAATTTTTATAACTTTATAATGTAATAAAGGTCTGATATCTTGGTTCTTCAGGAATATATTGGCTGTTCTTAGTCTTTTGCACTTCCATATAAATTTTAGTTTCACTTGTCAAGTTACCCAAAAATCTTGTTGCAGTTTGGATTGGAGATGCATTAACGCTATAGATTGATCTAGAAAAAACTGACATCTATGTGCCAGACACTGTTCAAGGCCCTGGGGATGCAACAGTGAACAAGACAGAAAAAGGAGCGATGGTTGAGCAGTACAATTCTTGAACAGGTTTCAGTGGCGCTTCCAGACTAAGATGGACTAGTAAGAAAGGCCTGGAGATGTACTTCCAAATACCAGCCAATGAAAACCCTATAGATCACAAGGGTCCAATCGCTAACCAGTCATGGGGATGGCACAGGACCAGGTGGCGTTTAGTTCAGTTGTGCACAGGATTGTCAAGAGTCAAGGGCACAAACAAAAATAGTGTAAACCAATCCATGCAAGAGCTGCACTTCCTCCTGCTCCAGCTCATCTCCACTATCCTCTCTCCCTCCGTGCTCCAGCCACACTGTCGTCTGCCATTCAGCTCACCAAGAATTCTCCCACTGTGGTCTTTGTTGAAACCCCACTCACCAGATATTGGCATGGCAGGCTTCCTCACTTTAGGTAATTACTCAAATAGCCCCTTTTCAGAGGAGCTATAATGCTGTCTAAAACAGCAACAGCCATATTTCTCTAACACTTGCTTTATTTTTCTCCATAGTACTCATCACCACCTAAGATAGTAAATATGTATTTGGGTGTGTTTTTTTTTTTAAAAAAATAAACAATATGAACTAGGAACTGTGTCTGTCTTGTTTACTGTTATATCCTCAGGGCCTTGACCTGTGCCTGGAACGCAACCAGTACCAGTAACCATGGAGTCGATTCTGACTCATGGTGACCCCATGTGTATCAGAATAGAACTGTGCTACATAGGATTTTCAATGGCTGATTTTTTGGAAGTAGATCACCAGGTCTTTCTTCTGGGGTGCCTCTGGGTGGACTTGAACCACCAACCTTCTGGTTAGCAGTCGAGCCCTTAACTGTTTGTGCCACCCAGGGACATAGTACCTGTTGCCATCGAGTTGATTCTGACTCATAGGACATAGTAGGCACTTAAAAAATCTGTTGAATGAATGAAGGAAGAAAGACCAGGCAAATGATCAAGAGGCCTTTGCAAAATTTTAGGCAAGCCCTCCAGGTTTGTACCATGAGCCCATAACTGTCTAAGGCCTTAGAAATATTCGGTTAGTGACTATCCATTACAATAAAAAATCCACTGAAAATGGCCACAATCCCTGCAGATTTTTCAAGGAGAATAATATTTAAGCACCTGATGATTTTGGAGTCCTACTTGCAAATATACACCACTCATCTGTCAGTTTGTCATACTGTGGCAACTTGAGGGTTGCTGTGATGCTGGGAGCTATGCCACCAGTGTTTCAAATACCAGCAGTGTTTAAAAGATCAGACTTACTGGTCTGATAGAGACTGGAGAAATCCTGAGAGTATGACCCCCAGGCACCCTTTTAGCTCAGTAATGAAGTCACTTCTAAGGTTCACCCTTCATCCAAAGATTAGACAGGCCCATAAAACAAAACAAGACTAAATAGGCACACCAGCCCAGTGGCAAAGACAAGAAGACAGGCGGGGACAGGAAAGCTGGTAATGGGGAGCCCAAGGTCGAGAAGGGGAGAGTGTTGATATGTTGTGCGGTTAGCAACCAATGTCACAAAACAATATGTGTATTAATTGTTTAATGAGAAATTAATTTGCTTTATAAACCTTCATCTAAAATACAATTAAAAAAAAAAAAAGAACAAATAACCAACAGGGTCACCCGAGGTCGACAGGTTTCAGTGGAGCTTCCAGACTAAGTAAGAAAGGGCTGGCCATCTGCTTCTGAAAATTAGCCAACAAAAACCTTATGAATCACAACAGAGCATTGTCTAACTTGCTTGTTTTGGAGCATCAGGAGGGATCAATTGCTGGAGGAGGACATCATGTGTGGTGAAGTAGAGGGCCCCGAGAGGGCGAGGGAGAATGTCGGTTAGATGAATTAACACAATAGCCACAACAATGGACTCGAACATGCTTGGAAATCCTAAGAATGACGCAGGACCAGGCAGCATTTCATTCTGTTGTACATAAGATTCCCATGAGTTGGAGTCAACAACAGCTATCTATCTGTCTACATGCAAATATGTCATTCATCATACTTCCATTTGAAAGTCTGGGCAGATTGATTTTAACTAATTCTAATTTATATATATTTTCTTTTATGGATTACATTCATAGCATCATATATAAGAAGTCTCTGTTTGAACAGATCAAGGGGATACTGCATGGTTTAAAGTTAAGTGTGCATCAGGGTTGTATCCTTTCACTGTACTTATTAAATCTGTATGCTGAGCAAATAATCCAAGAAACTGGACAATATGAAGAAGAACGGGGCATCGGGATTGGAGGAAGACTCATTAACAACCTGTGATATGCAGATGACACAACCTTTCTTGAGAATTTGAAGCACTTACTGATGGAGATCAAAGACTACAGCCTTCAGTACGGATTACATCTCAACATAAAGAAAACAAAAATCCTCACAATTGGACCAATAAGCAACAACATGATAAATGGAGAAGAGATTGAGGTTGTCAAGGATTTCATTTTACTTGTATCCACAATCAACACCCATGGAAGCAGCAGTCAAGAAATCAAACGACGCATTGCATTGGGCAAATCTACTACAAAAGACCTCTTAAAAGTGTTAAAAAGCATAGGTGTCACCTTGAAGACTAAGGTGCGCCTGACTCAAGCCATAGTGTCTTCAATCGCCTCATATGCATGTGAAAGCTGGATAATGAATAAGGAAAAATGAAGAAGAATTGATGAGTTTGAATTATGGTGTTGGCGAAGAATATTGAATATACAATGGACTGCCAGAAGAACCAACAAATCTGTCTTGGAATAAGTACAGCCAGAATGCTCATTAGAAGCAAGGATGGTGAGGCTTCGTCTCACATACTTTGGACAAGTTATCAGGAGGGCTCAGTCCCTGGAGAAAGACATCATGCTTGATAGAGGGTCAGCAAAAAAGAGGAAGACCCTCAACGAAATGGACTGATGCAGTGGCTGCAACAATGGGCTCAAGTATAGCAAAGATTGTGAGGATGTTGCAGGACTGGGCAGTGTTTTGTTCTGTTGTACACAGCGTTGCTATGAGTCGGAACTGACTTGATGGCACCTAACAACAACAGCAGATAATAGTAGAAGTAGTATTAGGGCATCTTTCTCCATCCCACCCCAGGAATCACAAGACTCTAGAGTGTGAAATTAAAGTCTGTTACCTCTAGCCTTGACTGGAACCTGTCAGAAATCTATGATGGAACCACACTGGTGTATTGGTGGTGTAATGATGGTAGTTGTCACTCAGGGTTATGAGTCATCTACAGTCGACTCCTCTCTTTTATACCCCCATTCTACTGATCATGTAATTCTACCTTAGCATCTGTAACTCTTTGATAAACTCATTTGTCTTCTTGTCAAAATAAATAAATAAGTCTCTACCTACCCCAGGTCCCAAAAATCTCTCTTGTACTTTCTTTTAGAAATTGTATAGATCTTCATTACATTTAGGTCTATGATCTATTTTAATTCTGTGTATGGTGTGAGGTAAAAGTCTAAGTTTATTTTCTTTTGTTTATTTATTTGTTTTTGCATATGGATATCCAATTGATCCAGGCAATTCATTTAAGACTATCCTTTCCCCATTGAATTGCTTTGGTGCCTTTGGTGAAAATCAATTGCTTATAGAGGCAGAGCCAACACGGCACTATAGACAGAAGCACCACACCATCCCTCCATAGCAAAGACTCAAAAAACTAGGTAAAACAGAGACAAAATGTCAATCGTGGAACCCTAAGCATCAAATGAAGAGATAAAGAATTCAACCAAGCATAAAATGGAATAAGAAACTGACAGAGAACAGAGAGTGAGGAGAGTTAGGAGTGGCGGTCCCCTATCAACTAACAAAGCACAGATCCACCATCTTGGACTCCTGTTGGAGATCAGCTGACAGGGAGTACAGGAAAGCAGATTTGTGGAGCTCTGAGCAGGAGACAGAGCACCTGGTAACCAGGGAGACACACTTTCCCACCACCCACCCTGTCTCCCCCTGCTCGACTTTTGCTGCCTCCTGATGGGCCGATTCCCAACTTCCTGGAGGGCTGACTCTCAGCTTCTTGTTGTGCCAATTCTCAGCTTCCTGGCAGACCAATCTGCTCTTCCCAGCAGACTGCTACCACAGCATCGGAGGCACCATTTCTGTCCCGTACAGATTCGCCCTGCCCAAACCGGCCGGCTTCTTCACTGCCATTTCTTTGTTGCTGGCATTGTTTTTCTTGGCCTCTTTTGGTTTCCTCCCTACCTTTCACCTCCTTCCTCTCGAACACCTAACTCCATGTGCCATCTTTGCTTCTTGTTGACAGGATGTGAAGCGCTGCTCAGCTGGGGAACTGCTTCCCCGGCCTGCATGGTCATGCTAGTGGTATCCCTGGGGACCTTTTTGTTTTTCTTTTTTTTTTTTTGTTTCTTTGTTTTCTCTTTCTTTTTTCCTTTTTATCTTTCTTCATTTCTCAGTTTCTCATCTCTTTCTACTTATCTTCTTTTCCTGTCTCCTGAATACCTGGTCCTGTGTATCACCTCCACTCCTAGCGAGGCTGTACTGTGCAGCTTGGGAGCCACTTCCTTGGTCTGTGCAGCTGACTGGTGGGATCCCTGGGGACATTTAAAAAATATATATTTATTTATTTTCTTTTTGTTTTTCTTCTTTTCTTGGTTTCTTTTCTCTCCACTAAAACGGCAAGCTCTCTCAGCATTTTTTCATTTTTTTTTGCTCCTGTTTCTCTCCTCGCTCTCTTCTTTTCCATACCCAACCTAGCTCCACACATCACAACCTCCCCCTACCCCTCCCTCTTACCTATCTGCACCATGTGCTGAACATTGCACTCCTGAGCTACACAGGCAGGACCTATTAGAACCTGCCCTGCACTGACCACTGGCTCACTTTGTTGTCCCCAGTATGTGCCACAAACAACCCATTCCAGCCCCTCCCCTTCAGCTGGACCTGCCCTACTGCACCGTAGCTGAGTGACTGGCCATGCCCATTGGACAAGGAGGTGAAAAATATCATGTCCACAGATTAGCAAACAACAAACAATGCACAGCCGTCTGCTCAGACATAACCTAATAAAACAAAAAAGCAGGATGAAGCAAACAAATGTACAATCAATAAATAAAGAAAATAACTACTGACTGTCCTGAAGACAGCAGACAATATCAAAACATATACAAAAAACAGAAGAGGATGGTTCCAGTAGGCATCCAAAATAAAACACCAGATGACTTTCCAGTAGAAGAAAAGGCACTATAACTACCTGATAGGGAATTCATATCTCTAATATTCAGAGCTATCCAAGAGTTGAAGCAAAAAGCAGACAAAAATGAGGAAAAAATAGACAAATTCATGGAAAATACAGAATAAAAAAATGGAAGAATTCAGGAAAATAATACAGGAACAAAATGTCAACATAAATTCACAACTAGAAATCATACAAAAATAACAATTAGACATCCAAAAGAAAAACAACAAGATTTCAGAAATGGACAGTGTTGTAGAAGGGCTGAGGAACAGGTTTGAAACAATGGAAAACAGGATTAGCGAAATTGAAGACAAACACATGAATACAACTTTATTTGAGGAAAAATCAGAAAAAAGAACAAAGAAACATGAAGAAACTCTGAGAATTATGTGGGATACAATCAAAAGCAAAAATTTTTGAGTGATTGGAGTTCCAGGACAGAGGGAGAAAGTGGAAAACACACAGAGGATCATTGAAGAATTGCTGATAGAAAACTTCCCTAATATCATGAAGGATGAAAAGCTGGCCATCCAAGAAGTTCAACGAACTCCATATACAATAGACCCCAAAAGAAAATCACCAAGGCATATCATAATCACTCTTGCTAAAACCAAAGACAAAGAAAGAATCCTGAGAGCAGCTCAAGAAAAACAAAAAGTCGCATACAGAAGGGAAACAATAAGACTAAGCTCTGATTACGTGGCAGAAACCAGGCAGGCAAGAAGGCAATGGGATGACATATATAAAACCTTGAAAGAAAAAAATTACCAAGAAAAATATATCCTGCAAAACTCTCATTCAAATATGATGGTGAAATTAGGACGTTTGCAGATAAACAGAAATTAAGAGAATATGTAAAAACCAAACCAAACTTACAAGAATTATTAAAGGGAGTCCTTCAGTTTGAGAACAAACAGCATCAGACGACAGCCTGTATCTAGGACACAGGATAGCACCAGCCAGCTACCAACCTAGGAAATGAACTCTCAAGGAGTTAAACCAAAAGATTTACAACAGGGAACCAGAGAGGTTAATCTGCAAATGACAACAATGTCAGAACAATAAAAGAGGAAATAAACAGTGTAGGTATACAACTTTCTAATGGAGAGGAAGGCAAGGCGATACCAAGTAATAATAGACTAGTTCAAACTCAGGGAGATAAGGGTAAATTTCAAGGTAACCACAAAGAAAGCTAATAAACTTACTCATAAAAATAAAGAAGAAAAACATAAAGTCTCAGTAGAAACAAAATTTACAAAAACAAAAGAAATGAAAACAAAATCCACAAACAAAAGGAATTCAGCACAGGAGAGTGAGAGGAACAAAGAAATCATCAGCATCACAAAGAAAAGCACTACAAAATGACAAACAATAAACTCACACCTATCAATAATTACACTAAACGTAAAAGGCCTAAATGCACCCCTAAAGAGACAGAGAGTGACAGAATGGATTTAAAAAAAAAAAAAGGATCCATCAATATGCTGTCTACAAGAGACACATCTGAGAAAGAAAGACATAAACTTATTAAAAATTGAAGGATGGAAAAAAATATATCAAGCAAACAGCCACTAAAAAAGAGCAGGAGTGGCAATACTAATCTCAGATACTAATAGACTTTAAAACAAAATCCACCATAAAAGACAAAGAAGGGCAATATATCATGATTAAAGGGGTGATCCAGCATGAAGACATAACCATAATAAATATCTATGCACCCAATGACAGGGCTCCAAAATACACAAAACAAAGTTTAACAGCACTGAAAAGAGAAATTAACAGTTCCACTAAAATAGTAGGCGACTTCAACACACCACTCTCAGAAAAGGACAGAACATCTAGAAAGAAATTCAACAAAGATACAGAAGATCTAAAGGGAACAATCAGCCAACATGAACTCATGGACATATAAAGAACCCTCCAACCAACAGCTGAAAAGTACACATTTTTTTCCAATGCACATGGAATGTTCTACAGAATAGACACATTTTAGGCCACAAACCAACCCTCAACAAAATCCAAAACACTGAGATAATACAAAGTATCTTCTCTGACCACAACACAATCAAGGCAGAAATTAACAACAGGAAGAGCAAGGAAAAAAATTAATGAAGTGGAAACTAAATAACACCCCGCTTAAAAACAACTGGGTAATGGAAGAAATCAAAGATTGAATAAAAAAATTCCTAGAATCAAATGAGAATGAAAACACACCATACCAAAACCTCTGGGACACAGCAAACGCAGTGCTCAGAGATCAATTTTTAGCAATACATGCACACATCAAAAAAGAAGAAAGGGACAAAATCAAAACATTAGCTACGCAACTTAAACAGATAGAAAGAGAACAGCAAAAGAAGCCTACAGCCACCAGAAGAAAGGAAATAATAAAGATCAGGGCAGAAATAAATGAAACAGAGAATAGAAAAACAATAGAAAGAACCAACAAAGCCAAAAGTTGGTTCTTTGAAAGGATCAAGAAAATCGACAAACCATTTGTCAAATTCACAAAAGATAAACAGGAGAGGACGCAAATAACTCAAATAATAAATGAAATGGGTGACATTACAACAGACCCAACTGAAATAAAAAGGATTATAACGGAGTACCATGAAAAACTATACTCCAACAAATTTGAAAATCTAGAGGAAGTGGACAAATTTCTATAAACATACTACCTACCCAAACTATCACAGGTTGATGTTGAAAATCTGAACAGACCCATAACAAGAGAAGAGATTGAAAAGGTAATTTAAAAAAAAACCTCCCCCCCCCTCAAAAAAAAAGTCCTGGCCCAGATGGCTTCACTGGAGAATTCTACCAAACATTCAGAGAAGAGTTTACACTAGTACTACTCAAATTATTTCAGAACATAGAAAAGGAAAGAATACTTCCGAATTCGTTCTATGAAGCCAGCATAACCCTGATACCAAAACCAGGCAAAGACACTGCAAAGAAAATTACAGACCAATATCTCTCATGAATATAGACACAAAAATTCTCAACAAAATTCTAGACAATAGAATTCAGCATCATATTGGAAACAACCTAGATGCCCATCAACAGATGAATGGATAAACAAACTATGGTACATACACACAATGATTAAACACAAAGATTAGACAGAACAATAGGACAAAATGAGACTAAGGGGCACAACAGCCCAGGGACAAGGACTAGAAGCCAGGAGGGGACAGGAAAGCTGGTAATAGGGAACTCAAGGTCTAGAAGGGAGAGTACTGACATGTCATGGGGTTGTTAACCAATGTCATAAAACAATATATGTACTGTTTAATGAGAAGCTAATTTGTTCTATAAACCATCTAAAGTACAATAAAAATAAAAGTTAGTGGTTCAGAAAAATTCAATTGCTCATAAATGGGTAGAGTCATTTCTATTCTGTTACAATAATCTATGTGTCTAGCTTTATGCCAGCAATGAACTGTCTTGGTCACTGTAGTTCTACAGTAAGTTTGAAACTGGGTAAATCCTCCAAATGTGTTCATATTTTTCATTTACATATAAGTTTTAGGACAAGTTGTCATTCTGTTTTTTATTGTTGTAGTTTAAATGAAGTTTACATTTCAAGTTAGTCTCCCACATAAAAATTTATACATACATTGTTATGTGACCCTAATTGCTCTCCCCATACTGTGACAGCACACTCCCCCTTTCCACCCGATTCCCCATGTCCATTCAACCAGCTCCTAACCTTCTCTGCCTTCCCATCTCACCTCCGAACAGAAGCTGCCTGTTTATGCTCTTGTATCTACTTGAGCTAAGAGCACACTCCTCATGAGTATCACTTTATGTCTCACAGTTCAGTCCAATCTCTGTCTGAAGAGTTGGACTCAGAAATTGTTTTAGTTCTGGGCTGATAGAGAATCTGGGGGCCATGCTTTCCGGGGTTCCTCCAGTCTCAGTCAGAACATTAAGTCTGGTCTTCGTACTAGAATTTGAGTTCTGCACTCCATCTTTCTGCTGCTCCATCAGGGACTCTCTGCTGTGTTCCCTGTCAGGGCGGTCATTGGTGGTAGCCTGGCACCATCTAGTTCTTCTGGTCTCAGGCTGATAAAGTCTCTGCTTTATGTGGCTTTTTCTGTCTCTTGGGCTAATACT